TAATCTTGAAATACGCCAAGAGAACTAAAATTTTATGGGTGAAATGGTGCCATGGGTTGACTTCTCTTCCACCCCAATGCCTTCACTTCTTCCTTCTCCTCCACCCTCATTTTAATTCCCATCATCATCATCATCATCATCCAGGAGCCTTCTACATACACACCTCAAAGTAAGTGAACTTTTCTACCATTTTTGTTGAATTTAGGCAATTTTTGGTGAGCTGGAACCAATTACCCAAAAACCCATTGAAACAATGGTTTCGGTTAACGAATTTTTCGGTTAACGAACAACCTGCTGGAACGGATTGTGTTCGTTAACCGAGGGACCACTGTAATTAGCTTTAAAAGCTGCAATAGCACCTTGATCCAGGGGTTGGATGATAGAGGTAGTGTTAGGTGGAAGGTAGACTACCTTAACATGAGGGTGCAGGTCGTCCAGGTGTGGTGGGTGTCCCGGAGCATTATCCAAAATTAGCAAAATCTTGAATGCAATCCCTTGTTGCAGGCAATACTCCTTGGCTCGTGGAATGAAACAAGTCGGGAACCAATCCTCAAACAGTACTAGGGTCATCCAGGCTTTCTTGTTACTGCAATAAAACACTGGCAGTGTGTGCTTGCTGACATGTTTAAAAGCCCTTGGGTTGTCTGAATGATAGATCATGAAGGGCTTTATCTTGAAACCAGCTACATTCCCCCCAACAGAAGTGTAATTCTGTCCTTGAATGCCTTGAATCCTGGCAGTGTTTTCTCCTCTTTGTGGATGTATGTCCGTTCAGGCATGCGCTTCCATAATAAGCCAGTTTCATCAACATTGATTATTTGCTCAGGCAAATAATTTCCTTCCACGATCACACGATCTAGCTCCTCCTTAAAAGCTTCGGCAGCACCAACATCAGCACTAGCTGCCTCTCCACTCACCTTAACATCATGTAAATTGTAGCTGTTCTTCAAACCTGTTAAACCACCCATGACTTGCTGTGAAGGTTTGGTCGCACTCATCTCCTGCCTGCTCCTTCAGGCTTTCGAAAAGGCTTCTTGCCTTAGCCTGTATGGTTAGAAGGCTTAAGGGTACACGCTCTTGTATCTGGTCTTCCATCCATATCACAAGTAATTTCTCCACCTCATGAAGAGGACCGTGTCTTTTCTTCGTTATTATAGTTCCCTTTATAGGTGATGATTCTTTCACTACATCACAAACAGTTATTAGTCATAAAAATGGGGAACTGGGCGAAAAACAGAGCAGCAATGTTGACTCCTAGTGTTTTGATGGCGGGAGCTTCAGCTTGCCCCAGTCACCGCTAGGTGGCAACATCTACTGGGCCGGCTCACGACTGAAACCTTGAAGGACTGTAGTCGAGTTACGTGTTAACAGAAAGTTTATTTATGAATGTGGACGAAAGTCGATTTATGAGATGAAGGAAAAAAATAAAAATGTGAATAAAGTCGAGCCACATGGTGAAAGGGTTAATGTACTACAGAGGAGCCTCATATGAGAAGTATTTCCAAGCCCAGACACTAAAGCTCGCAGGACAAGTTACCTCGATTGTGATATCAAAGAAAATATCTGCTTCACAATTTTGTATAGTTGTTTGTATTATTTGTATGCTGTATTGTAGGTTACTGAACTAAACTTTGATTCTATGCATATTACATATTTTTTTTTTTTTTTTTTAAATAAACTTTAAGGTTAGTACAGTACAGTAGACTTGCATCTTACACGAGGGTTATGTTCCTGGGTCCTCGTGTAAAGCCCAAAAACACGTAAATTCAGAGACACTCCTCTAAATCACACTTAAATCACTATATATATGTACATATACACTAGAACTGGCTGGGAAAATGGGGGAGAGAGAGGGAGGGAGGGAGGTGATGTATTGTGACAGTTGGTGCCGAACGTCTAGTGGGTAGTACAGTACTGTATTTATTTATCTGTCCTTTAGAGTGACTTTAAGTTTTTCTCTTATAAAATGTCACAGAAGTGACCTGGGAGAATATAACTTACATTGCTGGGATTCTTGTAAGATAGTGATTAATTTGAAGATAATCATGCTATAGTTTGCACTAGACAAATTATTTAGTACATTATTTTGAGTACATGAACAGTACAGCTTTGCCCTTAGGACAGTGTATGCATGTAAATGAGTAAATTTAAATGAAAAAAGTTAGGTGTATCGAGCCAAAAATATTAGTTGAAAAACTTTATGTAGTCAAACCTGTGTTGTTGTTTGAGATTATTCATCCTCTTCCAACGTGACCGTGGGGGGATCATCAAGGTCAGATAATGTTGCAGGGGAGGATGTGGGCAGCTGAAGGTCACTGAGAGAAGTTGAGGGTGTTGACTGATCTGCTGACTATGTTGATACTGAGGTTTTCTTTAAGATAATGGTGATGGGAAGCTGTCGTTGTTGTTTCTTAAGCTGCTGGAACATTTTCTTATACTGAGCCATAACACTTGTAAGACCTTGTGAGAAGTTGATGCTGCACTCCATAGAGGGGTCATACTCAGACACTAAGTTTTTCAAGTGCTCGGCCACCTGAAACACTTCACTAAACTTGTGTATATCCCAACATGCTGTGGCTCTTCTGGTTCTTCTTCGTCCGCTCTCACTATTTCCCCCAACTCAGCATCAGTCAGAGTTTCCCTGTGCCCTTCAATTAACTCCTCGATTTCCTGCTCAACCATGTCTTCAAACTCATCACCGCCTACAGCCCTGGCCACCGTCACGATGTGCTTTACTTCAGTCGATCGTAGGGACTCTTTTGAAGTCATGCGCACAGTCACTCCACAGTGCCCGCCAATATGAATTAACTGACTCTGGTTTCAGTGCATTCATGGCCTCCTTCACAAAAGTGATGCAATTGGCAATGCTGAATTCCTTCCAGCATGCCATAACACTGTTGTTAGTGCCGTCCTCCATGGCGTTGCGAATGAAGACGAAGGTGAGACTTGTGTAGGCTGCCTTAAAGCACAGAATCATGCCCTGGTCGAGAGGCTGGAGGATGGAGGTGGTGTTTGGTGGAGGGAACACTACCTCGACGTCATTGTATGCGAATTTTATGGCATCCGGGCGGCCTGGTGCATTGTCAACGACCAGCAACACCTCGAAAGGCAGTCCCAGCTTCTCTAGGTAGTTCTTTACCTCGGGGATAAAACATTAGTGGAACCACTCAAGGAAAATCATTGCTGTCACCCAGGCTTTCTTGTTTGACTGCCAGTAGATGGGGAGGAGATTCTCATTTTTTCCCTTCAGAGCACGAGGGTTGGCAGACCTATATGTCATACCTGGCTTTATCATGTGCCCTGCTGCGTTGCCACATAGTAGGAGGGTGACGCGGTTCTTCGCAGCCTTGAACCCAGGGGCCTGGTTCTCAGTCATGGAAATGTAGGTTCTAGTTGGCATGTTCTTCCAAAACAAACCTGTTTCGTCAGCATTGAAGACCTGCTCTGGAAGATATCCCTTTTCCTCAATCAATTTCCTGAATTCGTCTGGGAACACCCATGCAGCTGCCTCGTCCGCTGATGCCGATTCGCCGGCGATTCTAATATTTTTCGGGTTGAAACGCTTTCTGCAACTGTTGAGCCAACCTGCACTGGTTTTAAAATTCTTCTCAGAGCTGGTGGATGCTTCGCCCTGAGGAACCTCAGATTTAAACTGGTCATAAAGACTCGGTGCCTTCTCCCTGAGCACGTTGCCGTCGATGGGGACACGTTTGTGGTTCATATCCCCTACACAGATGTTTAATGCCTTCTCCACCTTCACTAGAGTTACATCTCCAACCTTGCTAGTCACCTTAGCAGTAAATGAGGCACTTGTAGACATGGTTTCACGAATTTCCTTCCCCCGAGTCTTAATGGACCTCAAGCTTGATTCGTTGCGTCTGTATCTCTGTGCCACGGCAGCGACCAACATGCCGCCTTTTATAAAGTCTAACACGGCCACTTTTTCTTCCAGGGTCATCACAGAGCGTTGTTTCTTTGCTGGAGGACCAGAGGCAGAGGTTGGCTTGTGTTTGGGCATTATGAATGAGTATGAGAGGCTTAAGCACACTTAATTGACACACACAAGAGGCAGGTGTTCCTCCACCAATCCCCTCGTGGCAACTGAAGACAGAGAGGTGGGATGGTGGGGGTGGAGCTCTGGTGGGCTAGCGTCTGTCGCGCTTATGACCCATTTTGAAAATTTTTAGCTTGAAATTGGAAACTGTATCCTAACCCCCGGGGTAATCCATATATATATAGTAGACTCTCAACTTACGTGAGGGTTACGTTCCTGGGACTTCGCGTAAAGTCAGAAACACTCCTAAATCGCCCTTAAATCAATAAATATACATATATGCAAGTAAATCACTGTAGGTGCGTGTGATCTAGGTATATGCTGATATACAGATATACAAATATACATATACGTACATATACACTAGAACTCATAAATCACTACTGTAATGTGATACAGGTGATTAATTTTTATCGCTTGTGCAAAATATATGACGTTTATGTTCAAATTATTCGCTGTCTTGCAAGGATTCCAGCAATGCAAATTATAGCTCCTAACTTTAGTCTGTGATATTATGTACGATAAAAACTGTAAGCCTAAAGCCACCAAACCCTGGCTGGGAAGTGAGCATGTAGCACTGTGCGTTGTAGGATTTATTGGAGGACCTTTAGAGTGAGCTTCAACTAACCATGAAATAAATTAATGTGGCACCTTTCAATCTCCTTAGGTGCCAGATAACTGGGGTTCTATTGTAACAAGAATATTGATAATCACTTTTTGTTGAAACACAATTTGAAGTTTTACTAAAAAAATGTAAATAAAAGTTTGCTGAACTTTCATTTTTATCTCATTACTGCACGTAATAAATCTGTTTGACCTAACATACAGAACTACTGTACTCTACAAAGCAGAATTTCATCATTAAGCAATAATTTTGTTTTAGGTTCACCGCTTTCCTCGTATAAAAGTAATTTACCACAAGTAACATTTGTATTAATTTTTGCAGGACTTCATAATGGAATGTGAATGTTACAAGATACCTGAGACAATTCCAAGAGAATTTGCTGATGTTACTTCTGCAAGTGTTGCATTCTACAAACTTGTTAACACACTGGATCAACTTGAAGGAGAAGGTAGGTTGTTAACTGTACTGTACTGTACTGTACTGTACTGTACTAATAGAATGAATACAGTAAGTCCTCTCTTAACGTCGGGGTTACGTTCCTGAAAATACAACGTTATACGAAACAACTTTAAGTGGATCAATTTTCCCCATAAGAAATAGATAGAAAACGGGAGTTACGTTCCTGAGCTCCTCTTTGCCCCATGAAATACATTACATATACAGAAAATCACTGCCATTTCTATAGAAAATAGTGTATACATATACAACTACTAAGTTTGTATTGGTACTCACTAATGGGCAAAGGTGGTAGAGCGGGTGTGTGGTGGGTAGTGGGGCGAAGGAGGAGGATGGAGGGAGCGGAGGAGGGTGGGAGAGGAGGAGGGTGGGAGAGGAGGAGAGTGGGCGTCACCGAGACGCTGCGGCTGCTTCCTCCTCCTCCTGCTCTGACTGAGGTTCCTCCGCCACTGTTTGCTCCTCCTCAGTTGTTGTTTGCTCCTCCTCGGCTGCCGGCTGTTGTGAAGAAACTCCTCCTGCCATCTTGCGACGAACAAATGAATCCAGTGTTGACTGCTTGGTGCTACTCATCTTCTTCTCCTTGGTGTAACAACCAAGACTGTCATCAATGCTGCGTTGAACCTTCGAGCTAGGTTCTCTGTTTGGGTCGTCATCTGGAAGCATTTGCATTACTTGCTGGAACATATTCAACGATTCTGTCAACCTCTTGGAAGTTAGAGTTCGTTGAGGTTCTTCTTCATCGTCGTCTTCAACGGGACTGTTCTGTTAGCTGTTGCAGATCTTCGTTGGTGAGCTCTCCTGTATGGGATGCCCGGACGTCCTCAATATCCTCTGATTCCAGCTTATCAAAGCCTGCCTGTCTAGCCAAGCTGAGAATATCCCTATTCACAGCTGGGACTAAGTCCGTGAATCCTGTAAAACTGTTGACTCACTCGGGCCACAGTTTACCCCACACACCACTCAGGCAACTTTCTGAAACCTCTTCCCATGCCTTGCCAATGTTGTCAATTGCATGAAGAATGTTGAAGCTGCGCCAATATTCTCGGATCGTTGGTTTATATTCTCCGTCTGTAGCCTTGAGCAGCTGGGCCATGGTACGGCATAAATAATACGCCTTGACTGCGGCGATGACGCCTTGGTCCATAGGCTGCATCAGTGCTGTCGTGTTGGGAGGCAGGAATGTAACTTTTACACTGTCATGCAAGTCGTCGAGATTGGGAGGTTGAGCTGGAACATTGTCAAGGATCAGAAGAATTTTGAAGTTAAGGTTCTCCTTGGCACAGTATTCCTTCAGTGCAGGGACGGTGTACACGTTTAACCACTGGCTAAATATGGCGCCGGTTATCCATACATTCTTGTTTGCCTTGTAAATCACTGGAAGGTGATCCTTAGTGTAACCTTTCAGGACCTGTGGGTTGGCAGCACGAGAAATCAGCAGAGGCTTCAGCTTGAAGTCATCGGCAGTGTTCGTGCCAAGCAGCAGCGTCAAGCGATCTTTTGCCCCTATAAAACCTGGCGCTCTTTTCTCCTCCTTGGAGATATAGGTCCTCTCAGGCATCCTCTTCTAAAAGAGACCAGTCTCATCCACATTGAAGACTTGCTTCGGTGAGTAGCCTCCTTCCTGGATAATCTGCTTGAATTCTGGCGGGAATGTCTCAGCAACAACCGTATCTGAACTGACAGCTTCACCAGTCATCTTTATACTGTATTGTGGAAGTTATAACGACGTTTAATCGTTGAAACCATCCTCGGCTGGCTGTAAAGGTCTCTTCCTTCAATCCTTCACCCTCTGTTTCCTTCAGGTCGTCAAACAAGGATCTGGCCTTATGCTGGATAACCATAAGGCTCACAGGGGCATTGCGTTGATTCTATTCCTCCATCCACATTGCCAGCATCTTTTCCACCTTCTCTATCACAGTGCTTCTAGTACGAGTCGTCTTAATAGCACTCAGAGTAGTACCACTTCCAGCACTAACCTTAATCTTGTCAGCGTTGGTCCGGATAGTACGCATCGTTGTGGGAGTTAGACCAAGCACAGCGGCTATGTCCACAGCACGTTCCCCTTTTTCAAATCGTGTTAATACATCCATTTTCATAGCCAGGGTAATGGTCTTACGTTGCCTCTTCACTCATCAGTAGCACTTGAAGGATGCTTGGAAGCCATTTTGAATGGTTAGAGTACAGTACTAGAGCAAAAGCACTTAAGCACACACGAATGATGTGAAGTCGTAACAAAGACTGGCTTGGTGTCACTTGGGAATGCTGTGACGTTACACGAGTGAGGGCAGCGCACCAAGCCGAGAGAGCGTAGTGCGGCCAGACGAGCGGGTGTTGTGCCGTAAAAAGTAGTCCGTGACGAGGCAAAGCGATGTTGTACTGAATCACCGGGACGTTGAACGAATTTTTGGTCTCCAAAGTTTAGCGAGGTAGTACCGAAACAACGTTAAGCGAGGACTTATTGTAGTAACTTTAAAAGCTGTAATGTACAGTACAGTACTGTAAGGATTGTACTCATATTAAACTTTTCTTTTTTCTTTTCACAGGATGTATAAAGGAGCATACTCTTATTGCCACCACCCTGGGCTACCTGGTTGAGTTCCATGATGGGAAGGTGATACGCTCCAACAAACTCCCCTCAAAACATGTTACCAAAGTAAGGCATAACCTCCTAATTGCTTTAACTTGTAACCTTGTCAGAGTTTCATTTGCATGATAATTTTTACTGGAAAGAAATTACAGTGAACCCTCACTTTACGCGGTCAATTGAACCCACGGCGGCCCGCGTAAAGCGAGAAACGCGTAAAGTGAACAACATAACATATGGGATTAATTGAAATAGAGACTGGGCTGACCCCCAAACTCCACTTCTTAATTTTATGATGGTATGAACACACAATTAATAATTAATTAAGAGAAATATCAATAATATTAGGTTTTTTAACACTTGCATCAGTAGAAAAGATGGCTAGGCACACGGGGATGGGGGGTTGGTTCCGAGGCAGAGGGCATATTATTGGCCCTCACCTGTATCACTTGTATCACTTGTATCACTATCCATCACAGAGGCTTGCAGGGCCTCTTTGTCAAACCCCTCAAAGTCCATATAAGTCCATATCCTCACTATCACTGACTTGGGCTGGCTGTGGTGGGTGGCGGGTGAAGAACTCGGTAATGTTTTGATGACTGGGCGACTTTGTGCGCACCTTGCCCGCGCCGCTCTCCACGTAAAAGAGTACACGCACCGCGTAAAGTGAGCATTCCGGGTCTGGCAAGGTACCGCGTAAACGTGGAAACGCATAAAAAAAACGGATAAAGCGGGGTAATACTGTACAGCAAACCCTTGATATAACGGACTAAAGCTGTAAGTCTCTTATATCTGGATCTGTAATAATAACCGACTTGGTGTGTTATAAGGGCCACATGCAAGAGCTGCTGCGGTGTACACCAAGCTGTGGCATCCCAGCGGTCATAATATAATGGAAGAAAAGTTTTGTGATTATGCAAGAATGGCCGTTGGCCATGGTGGTTCCCGACCGTCGTTTGTTACTACTACGTCATCGTGGTGTAGTCAAATGTACCAACTGGCAGAAGACTGGTGGGTTGGTATGCTTGCACCCTCAAAACATTGTCAGTGGCACGAAACGTTTTCTCTTGCTATACGATTTACGAGCATGAAAAACTTATATCCCAAGCTAAGGTGCACCTCATTTTCCTATTTTCTAGGATTATTAGCCAATTCTGGGAATGAAATACGATCACTTACAGTGAATATAGGTAAATAAAGCCTGTGATAACCATAAGAATGTAGGAATTGAGTGTATTATCTGTTCCATTTTTCTTTGTCCTTATTAAATCAAACAATAAAGTAATAAGTTTGTCACCAACTTGGGGTTGGGTGAGTGTAATAAAGAGAACTATGGCCTGGTCTGTGGATGAAGTCAGTAGAATATACCAAAGTACAGCATTAGGTATCATAATGTTGCTGTGACAGTGATGAACTCACTGTACAGATGAATTGGGATAAAATCTTGAAAAATATCAACATAACTGTTAGTTTTCTATCAAACAGGAAATTATCTTTGTACCAAAAATCTTTCCTTTCATATACAAGGCAAGTTATCTACAAGATATGAAACCTTGAGATAATGTTTCCTACTTGTCTCCACCTGATTATAGCAAGACATGAACACTTTCCCAATGTCAGGAGTAAAAATGTATACAATATGTTAATGACATGGACTAAACTTGGAGAAAAGTATCTGCTGTTTAAATGGTCTTTTAGTTGGAAAAAAAAACATTACATGTAAATACAGTCATGCGCCGGTCAACGTCCGACCGAACAACGTCCGATCGCATATACGTCTGTGCCCCCCCCAAAAAAAAAAAAATAATAAAAATAATCCATGACGCCTGCTGGACCACCACTCCACGACCCCCTGACGGAGACACGATGATCCTCCCCATACTGGTCAGATATTATGTGTTAAAGGAATATGCTTCCTTCCTTAGGCTTTTTTTAAGCATTTGCCTCCAGGTGTAATGTTAACCTACATCTATTGAGGATAAAATCTTTCACCTACAAATTGACAATAACACATTTGCTGTAATCAGACATATCTAGTTGCCTCAACAATTGCAACCCCAGTTGCAATTGGGGTTGCAATTTCAAATTCTGTGTCATTACTAAGGAATAACGAAGTCTCTGGTGCACTCTAAGATTGAGAGAAAACGGAAGACTCAGGTGTCCTGATGTGAGAGAAAACGGACTCTTATGATGGGGGACCAAATAAAAAAAGCATAGCTACATGTTTTGTGGAGTACAGTATTAAGCGTACCTTTTTCATCACTTTGTAATAAACCTAGCCATGCCTGTGTGTGTTTATGATATTTACCATAATATTATATTTATATTTTTTGGGTCTAAATGGTCGTAAAATGGGAAACTTGGGGCTGGGTCTTGGGTGCCTGCAACCAATTAGAATAAATCCCATAGGTTCTGTACTTTCGTTATTGCGTTTTTCTTTATCACGCACTCGGCGGGGCCCCAATTAGGCGCGATAACCAAGGGATGACTGTACTGTACTGTATATACTTGTGACACATGCCAGTTGCTTCTGGTGTTATGGTACAGAGGTACCAAGTGACAGCACTAGGATCCTGCTTCCTCTATCAAGGAATAAACAATTGAAATTGAAAAAAAAATTCAAATAATGGGACGTAGCGAACCTAAATGGCCCTAGAGCGGGCACAGTCACGTTTGCGTCACATATGCATCGCGTATTCTTATAGATTGTGCTGCCAGGCGTATAATGATACAGTACAGTAACTATATATCCATAATATGTTTTGATAGATATAAGAAATGCCTATGTTACTGTTTCTGTTTTTTATCTATTGTAGTGTACAGTACAGTACATTACTTTTAATTTGATTTCCTTACTTACGAAATAAAAGTTTACAGTGGTCCCTCGGTTAACAATGGACCTAAGTGCCAACCTGTACTGTACATGTACAGTCAACCCTCACTTTACGGGGGTCCCACATTCCGCGTTTCCACGTTTACGCGGTGCCCTGCCAGAACCTAGGATGCTCACATTCCGCGGTGCGTGTACCCCTTTACGCGGGTGAAGTATAATTTTTTTATTTAGCTCATAAAATTCATACAAATTATCCGGCCAGAATATAATTTACATTGCTGGAATTCTTACAATTTGATGATCATTTTGAATATAAACATCATAGATTTTGCATTAGACATACAAATTTTAGATATAATGTTTACTCTGAGTAAATATGTTATCTTTTGTGCAAAATATATGACATTTATATTCAAAATATTCCTGGTCTTACAAGGAATCCAGCAATGTCAATTATATTATCCTAACTTTAGTTTGAGGTATTATTTATTACTATACCTAAATTCCAGTGGTTTCCCCCAAAAATTTCTCAGAGAGGGAAGAGCCAGAGAGTGTAGTGTAGAAGAGGGGAGGAGTTATCCATTATTTGAATGGACATTAACTTATGCACTGTATTTCTATTTCTCTAAGCATTAATTGTGTGCATGTACCATCATAAAATTAAGATGTTATTTTTACTAGAACATAGGTATTGAAGGAAAGTGGAGTTTGGGTAGCTGTCTCTATCATTTAATCCCATATGTTATTCAGTTTACGTGTTTTCACTTTCCGCTGCACTTGTGTTACATTAACTGCGTAAAGTGAGGGTTGACTGTAACAAATTGTTATGTCTATTGCAAATATAGATTGTTTATACAGATATTCAAATAAATCACTATCAGACAGAATCCCAACAATAAGTTATATTCACCCAGGTCGTTTGGTGGCAATTATGAGAAGAGCTTTGTCACCTAAGTAATGATAAATAAACACACAGGCTCAGTGCCAACTGTCAAATCTTATCTCAAATATAGAAACAAACACCAAACATTGTCACCTCACCCCCACTGTTCCCCCCTCCCCCCCTCTTCCCATGCTCCCCTCCTTGTGTTCCAAGATAAAAGATTGGTGATTTCTTTATGTTTATTTTATATAATATCTCAGACTAAAGTTAGGATATTATAATTTGCACTACCTCAACACAAGTTGTTTCTTTTAGCACCACTAAGTCTAACATCTCTTGTGTCACAGTTACATCAACATGAGTATTATTCCATGCAGTAACAAAACCAGCTTCACTCTTATCAACTTCCTTGAACACTGTCAACAGTGTCTAAAGGCTATTTAGTGATGATATTAACACAGCTAGCTTGTCTTTCCATAATTCTGATTTAGGTGGATAAACACGGGAAAAAATTGGGTTATTTGTGTCGTTTCAAGTTACAGTACAGTTCTGGTTTTGTAGTGAGTGAGTGACACATTACAGATGAGCTTCAAAGGTTTACCTCCATTATTGGTAAATGGAAAACTTTCCTCACAATCTGGCTTCATACTTTCCTTTCTTATAATTTGATGATGCCATCTTCCTTCACAAATGTTCACAGACACAGGGCTATCAAATAAAGTTAACAGTATTTAAAAGGAACTTATTTTTATGAGCTGTAAACACAACCTGTATCCAGAGTGTACCGACTAGATCTGGACATTTCAACATCTTGTGTTACACTGCGTTAATGTACATATCATGACGTGAGGCCACCTCCCTTTCCCCGCCCGCTAATGAACAAAACCTGACTAAATTCCAGCCTTAAAATTAAGATTTAATTCTTAAATATTTTTACTCACCTTTAATGTTTAACTTATGTTTTAATCCAGTGGCCTCAGTTTATAAATATAAAGCTCAAACATTTTACTTATTTACCAGTACCTTTTATATTGATTGTGATGCAAAAAGGAGTTCATTAAGTATATTTTTGTGAGCTGCACATTGTCAAAGAGCTGCATGTGGCTCAAGCAGCTGTTTGGCCACCCCTGATATATACAGTACAGTCAACCCTCACTTTACGCGGTCCCACTTTACGCGTTTCCACGTTTACGCGGTACCCTGCCGAACACGGAATGCTCACTTTCCGCGGTGTGTGTACCCTTTTACGCGGAGAGCGGCGCGAGCAGGGTGCGCACAAGGTCGCCCAGTCATCAAAACATTACCGAGTTCTTCACCCGCCACCCACCACAGTGGGCCCAAGTCAGTGATAGTGATAATGATAGTGAGGATATGGACTTATATGGACTTTGAGGGGTTTGACAAAGAGGCCCTGCTAGCCTCTGTGGTGGTTAGTGATACAATTGAGACAAGTGATACAGGTGAGGGCCAATAATCTACCCTCTGCCTCGGAACCAATCCTCCATCCCCGTGTGCCCAGCCATCTTTTCTACTAATGTAAGTGTTAAAAAACCTAATATTATTGATATTTCTCTGAATTATTAATTGTGTGTGCATACCATCATAAAATTAAGAAGTTATTTTTACTACAACATAGGTATTGTGTCTGAAAAAGTGGAGTTTGGGGGTCGGCCCGGTCTCTATTTCAATTAATCCCATATGTTATGTTGTTCACTTTACACGTTTCTCACTTTACGCGGGCTGCCGTGGGTTCAATTGACCGCGTAAAGTGAGGGTTCACCGTATGTTATTCATTTGTTATATATTTATTGTTTATTTTTCTTTCCAGATTGTGGTTCATCATGAGTTTCAGCCATTGCAGCTGTTTATAGTGTTGTTGTTCAACACCCATAAAGCCGTCATCCTGTCATATAATGACTTCAAGGTAAACAAGAAGTTTTAAATTAATTAAATTACTTTAGGATTTTTGCTTAAATGTTTATGTAAGCATGAAATTATGGTCATTTACAGTACAGTAATAACATTTGGTGTTCTTATTACTAATATATTTCTAAAAGGAGTTGTAAGACTGTTTGAAGTATTGATGTATTATGTCCCAATATGTGCCTCTTGTATTATTACAGTACTCTGTTCTGTTAAGGTAGACCACTAGTGAAACATTGTCTCAGGCACAGAGCTCTACCCTTGTCCTCTTGCTATCTCTTAATTCCTTGTGGTTTCTCTCTCTTACAGTGATGTGTTTAATATACATTATAATAATAGTCTAATTAGGATTTAGTAACAAATAAATCAGGTACAAATCATTACAGTTTATTTACAGACCTTAATTTAAAAGGCTAGTGGATGCGAGTGTTTCTTTGGCTGTGTGTGTTAGTGTACAGTAATCCCGTGTTTTTCTAGTTTTTTTTATCGCGGTTTTGACCATTCGCGTTTTTTTTTTTACTAAAAAATTATATAAGTGCTGTATACAGCTCCTCCCCGACTTACGACGGGGTTAGGGACCCAAATCCAGGTCGTAAGTCAAAAATGCTTAAATAATACATAGAAAATCTGAAATGGGTGTCTCTTTTTCTTCTCAGCACCACAAAACTCTCACTTTTAAGCTTGCCAGCCATTTTAAAGAGAATTATAAAAAAAAATTTTGTCTGTGTACTGACTTTGGGACTCGAACATACGTAATTTGAGAAAATTTTGGTACGACTGAGGCAGGTCGAAAGTTGGGGAGGAGCTGTATATATAAAATATCCCTAAAATTTTTTTTTTTACATTTTGCACCATTTTTTATATTCCCCTGTGCGGTGCGGCAAACAGACACCACCCTTTCCCGCCTCAGACACCCGCTGCTCCGAGAAGCCTCAGACACCCGCTGCTCCGAGAAGCCTCAGTCCACACGTGCCTACTGTACTGTGAACGCTACTGTGATTACCTCTTCTGTTTGTCCTCCCACGTGCATTCCACATGGCTCCGGGACGTAAGCCAGCCTCATCAAAGGCAAATATTACTAGCAAAGACTCTAAAGTGACCAAGAGATCAAGAATAGTGATGACCTTAACGGAAAAACAGTTTTATTGGACAAGCTCAGAGGTGGTATGAGCTATGGCTCAAGATGTGGTGAAGACTGACAATTCATTTGTCTCTTTTGTCAGAATACAAGTCTTCAAGTGGAGGAATGTGGGTGGAAGAGGACTGGCTGGCTGGTGTGACTGTGTGAGGGCGGGCAGACGCCAGGACAGCAGGGAGAGGCTGGCAATGCGGGTGTTGCCGACCTCAGCGAAATAAAAAAAAATTTATTTGCTTGTAAATAATTTTTTTTTGTATATAACTGTGTTTACATTTTTTCCATTCATATACTGTACTACAATAAGATTAGTTTCAAATAATGATGTTAGTAAATGCCGGTACAGTGCATCAGTGATCAGTGTGACCACTGGGCCGTGAGTGAAGAGCATGGCGTGGTTAAGTGCATGACCTACCTGAGCTATTTGGTGGCCACAGGTACAGGATTCCTGAAAGAGTATTCGCAGTTTTGGTTTTTCACGGGGGTTTCAGGAACGTAATTCCGCGAAAAACGCGGGATTACTGTACTGTATATGCATGTATGTACAGTAAGTCCTCATGTAACGTAGTCCCGCTTAATGTTGTTTCTGTACTACGTCGCTAAACTTTAGAGACCAAAATTTCGTTTAATGTCCCAGGGATCTGATACTACGTCGTTTTGCATCGTCAATGACTACTTTCTACGGCTCATCACCCGCTCGTCTGGCTGCGCTACGCTCTCTCGGCTCGGTTACGACTTCACATCATTCGTCTGTGCTAAAGTGCTTTTGCTCTAAAACTGTACTCTAACCATTCAAAATGGCTTCCAAGTGCCTATCAAGTGCTACTGATGCTAGTGTAGTGAAGAGGCAACGTAAGACCATTACCCTGGCTATGAAAATGGATGTATTAACCCGATTTGAAAAAGGGGAACCTGCTGTGGACATAGCCGCTGTGCTTGGTCTAACCCCCACAACAGTGCGTACTATCCGGACCAACTCTGACAAGATTAAGGTTAGTGCTGGAAGTGGTTCTTCTCTGAGTGCTACCAAGACGACTCGTACTAGAAGCACTGTGATAGAGAAGGTGGAAAAGATGCTGGCAATGTGGATGGAGGACCAGAATCAACACAATGCCCCTGTGAGCCTTATGGTTATCCAGCATAAGGCCAGATCCTTGTTTCATGACTTAAAGGCAGAAGAGGGTGAAGGATCGAAGGAAGAGACCCTTTACAGCCAGCCGAGGATGGTTTCAACGATTTAAGCGTCAGTATAACTTCCACAGCATAAAGATGACTGGTGAAGCTGTCAGTTCAGATATGGTTGTTGCCGAGTCACTCACGCCAACAACGGAGGAGGAGTAAGCAGCGGCGGAGAAGCCCCAGTCAGAGCAGAAGGAGGAGGAGGAGGAGGAGGAGGAGGAGGAGGAGGAGGAGGCAGCTGCAGCTGCAGTGTCTCAGTGACTCACTACCCTCCTCCTCTCCCACCCTCCTCCTCTCCCGCCCTCCTCCTCTCCCACCCTCCTCCTCTCCCACCCTCCTCCTCTCCCGCCCTCCTCCTCTCCCGCCCTCCTCCTCCCCCACCCTCCTCCTCTCCCGCCCTCCTCCTCTCCCGCCCTCCCACCCTCCTCCTCTGCCCCACTACCCACCACACACTCGCTCTACCACCTCCGCCCATCGGTGAGTACCAATACAAACTTGGTACTTTAGTTCTATATACTGTTTTCTATAGAAATGGCAATGATTTTCTGTATGCCATATATCTCGGCCTATAAGACGGAATTTGAACCTTAAAAAAGTCAGCCCAAAATTGGGGGTCGTCTTAAATACCTGGTATGAAATTCGAACTTCTACATCCTGTGGTTTAGTGTGTCAAGAGTGGTGATGGAAACATCGTAAACCACTTACACGGTCCTACCACTAATTATTTTATACTGAAACTTACGTTTGGGAAGCTGGATTAAAAGCAAGATTACCGGTATATTAAAATAATAAAAATGTATTATAAACCTGTTTAACATACCGTAAAATAACAACATACCCCGGTAATAAACGCAGCTATCATCACGCGCCGCCCGCCATTTGCCAGTGACGAGACAAAAAAGGGAGTGTTTTTTTTTTACATCCTACGCTTGCTGTCACTACGCACTTTTAGGGGTCATATTCTCACTTGCCTTTGTGTCCAAGTTGGCCAATAATGCATTTCTTTACTGATCATAATACGTATTTCCCATAAATAATTCATTTAGACTTTATTTTATTTGCATTACTCTTCATAAGAAGTTCTCAGCGACACACCCACGCAGACTGTCGTCAGGCTTCTCCTTGGGAGACCACGTAGGTTTTACAAATAATTATCGAAATAATAATTCCACAAATAAATATATTTATAACTCAATCATAGCATTATTATCTTTTTTTTTACGGGGATTAGCCCACCCGGGCACAAGTCACTGGCCCACATCGGGGCCTGGGGTACGAAAATGTAATAATAGTAATACAGGTTGTACCTCTCTAGTCCGGCATTCTGTGGTCCGGAAACTCCCGTGGTCCGGAACGATTTTAGTTTGTCCAATAGGTAGATAGGCAGCTTTTTTTTTTTTTTTTCTTGAATTATTATTATTATTACAGGAGTATTAAATTTTTGCCCCTCAGGCCCCAATGTGGGTCAGTGACCTATGCCCGGGTGGGCTAATCCCCTTAAAAAAAAAAAAACAAAGCCATTCGGCTGCTCTCTCTCTCTCTCTCTCTCTCTCTGCTTGTCTATACAGAGTACAACATTTAACCCTTCAATATATATGAGCAGTAAATAAGTGTTGCTTCATATTCTTATGTAGAGTAATGACGATATGTTTTCACATGTGCGCACTTACATACGAGCAGTCTCACTTTTTTTTTTACCAGTAATGGTTAGCTACTTATATTGTTCCATTTATTAACATTAAATAACATTACAGGTACTTCAAACAACCATATTAATTTTTTTTACATTAATTTTACTACAGCTACAATCAGGGTCTTATTTTCTTCAGTTTTATATGTAGAACCAATCAGTCACTGGTTTTGTAAGCTTTAACATAAACAATGCCGGCAGCCGTCTCGTCTCCTCTAATATTCCACGTATTATTAATAAATTGTATTGTTAATTTTGCACACACAAACATTAATTCAATAAAAACAAATTCAGAAACATTAATTAAAATATATATGAACAGTAAATAAGTGTTGCTTTCATATTCTTTTGTAAAGTAATGACGATATGTTTTCACGTGTGCGCACTTACATACGCGATCTCTCTTTTTCTTTACCATTATCGTTAGCTACTTCTATTGTTCCATTTATTAACATTAAATAACATTACTTAAAACAACCATATTAATTTTACTACAGCTACAACCAAGGTCTTATTTTCTTCAGTTTTATATGTAGAACCAGTCAGTCACTGGTTTTGTAATCAACGAAAACAATGCTGTGTCATTTCCTCGTGTGTTTTAATATTCTACGTATTATTAATGAATTGTATTGCTCATTTTGCACACATAAACATTAATTCAATAAAAAAGACATTCAGTAATAAACAATAATGAATCTTTTGTACATAAGAGAAATGATGCTGTTTACACGATTATGCACGTCGTCTGCACATTGGCGGTCCGTTCAAACCCGTCGAAATTCAAGTTTCCGCCGTCAAAATTTTTATTTTTATTTTTTGTGTGTGTGTGTGTGTTCCAATAAAATACATTGAATTAAAAACAAGCGAAATTTGAGAAGCTACTACTGTATACGACATTTAACCCTTCAATATGTCTTCAAAGAGACCATGATGCAGAGAAAGTGGTGCTAGTGCTTCCAGGCATGAGCACAAGTCATTATCTATCCAGGAAAAGGGT